CAGGACCCCTTCGCGCACGAAGAGCGGACTCCTTGAAGAAATCGCGCAATCGGCGACACACTTGTAGAAACTTGACTTCTATATATTATGTTTATAACCAAACAGTTTCTGATTACAGGCTAATGGACGTATTCTGTTGACATTGGTATGTCTGTTCGCTGGCGAATGGCGTCTGTCATCATATCTTTCGGCAGCACTGTCATGTATCAAGCTGTGCATCGTGTTGTTTGTTCTACCCGAAAGCCACATCTGGTTGAGGAAGAAGGTAAATTCAATCTGGGAGGATTACGGGCAATGTCCCGGCAAATCTGGGTATTTTGACCTTTTTCTGTGGAGAGGGGTGTTAGCTAAATCCTTGCTCACGTGGCGGCTCTCACGACTGATTGGTGGCCGATTTCAACTTTGAACTGCAACCCGTACCGTAATTTCTACCGTACCGCAGGACGTTGATTGGTCTTCTCCAAAAATTAGGGTCTGGGCAAAAGTTCAACGTTGAAGTTTATTAGTTCAATCAGGACGGACTCCTCGTGTATTATTCACATTAGAAGTTTAGTTATCCATCTGCTTGGGCAGTGCTCATAGGGCGGAACAGAAATTTGATTAAACTATTATCGTATGGTTTTTAGGGACGTTGGCAAGAAGCCGAGGAAAGTCGCAAACGTATAGCAAAAATGTCTGGGATGGAGTTTGAACCAAGTGAGTGTTTCCAGCTTTGGGGACCAGTTTTCGTCCATTGAAATCAACATGATTTAGTGGCACCACCCGAGGATAAAGGAGAAGTCAAGGAACCGGAAAAGAAAATTAGCATCGCTGACGTATTCAAACAGCCTCACTTGCGTAGGAATCTGCTTGTTCTATGGACTATGTGAGTGAATTCTGGACAACTAGCACAAGTTATCGACATAGCGTTCCCGTGCAAAAGCACACAAGAGAAGATATTTTAGTATAATTTAGATAAGAACTCACTTATTCAGACAACTCACCCAAACTTCCGCAGAGCGTTTCGGAAAGTTCCGCCGGATCACCTGCGGAAGTTCCTAAACGTGTTGCTGAAAATTCTCAAGTGAAATGCTTCGGAAATTCCGAAGATGCGACCCACGACAGCAAAAGAGAGAATAAGCGAGAGTGGACCTTGCTCTATTGACTGCGAGAATTTCTGCAGCGTCTGAAAAATCCTGCGGAAGTTT